TGTGGCAAATGAAAAAGCTGACCTCTTTAATAAATTCTTTGCCTCCATATTCCTGAACAGGGAGCGGGACATCTCCCCCACTAGAATTCCGGACAGACCCAGGGGAGGCACCACCATGCCTAGGGTCAGGGATGACCTCATTAGGGAACTTTTGGAGGGGCTGGACATGTTTAAATCAGTAGGTCCAGATGCTCTTCACCTGAGGGTGCTGAGGGAATGGCGGGGGTCATAGCGGGGCTGCTGGCATGGCTCTATGAGTCATTGTTGACTGCCAGATGAACATGAACTTTGGTCAGGCCGCAATTGGATTACTGCATCCACTTCTGGGCACTGCACTTCAAGAGGGATGTGGCTAGGATTGAGAGGGCCCAGGGGAGGGCCACTCGCATGGTCCAAGGGCAGCAAGGCAGGCCCTATGAAGAGAGGCTAAAGGGCCTGAACCTATTCAGCCTCCACAAGAGAAGTCTGAGAGCGGATCTGGTGGCCATCTATAAACTCACCGGGGGGACCAGCGAGAATTGGGGGAGGCATCATCCAGGATTACTAGGAATCCCTAGGCATCATCTGGGATTACTAGGAATAATGGCCACAAATTGTTAGGGAGAAGGTTCAGGCTGGACATCAGGAGACATTACTTTACAGTAAGGGTTGCCAGGCTCTGGAATGGGCTGCCAAGTGAGGTGGTGCTCTCTCCTACCTTGCGGGTCTTCAAGAGGAGGCTGGGCAGATACTTGGATGGGGTGATATGACCCCGGCACCTGTTCCTGCCTGGGGCAAGGGGTCAGACCTGATGATCTGTTTAGGTCCCTTCCAACCCTAAGCACTATGATACTATGAACTTTCTAGAAATCGTGTGTCAAAAACTGGACAGTACACTCCTTTCAGTACTGGTTAGCCCTCCGCTGATGTACTGTCCAGTTTTGGACACATCATTTCCAGAAAGTTCATAGTATCATAGTAAAACAGCTCTCTTGTTCATACATTCCAGAATGGCACTTACTTGTTTGTAACAGCATGACATTGTTGGCTTATGTTCGGGTATTTTTCTAGGCAGTCCAGAGGAGAGCCACGTGAATGATTAGAGGACAAGATAGCAGGCCTTATGAGGGGAGGCTGAGAAACATGGGACTTCAGCCTGGAAAAACGTAGGTTCAGGGGTGACTTGGTGGTAGCCTATAAGTATATAAGAGATGTGCACTGAGAACTGGGAGAATGACTGTTCACCAGGGCACCCCATGGGAAGACTAGGTCCAGTGGTCACAAACTCTTGGAAGACTGTTTTAGGCTGAACATAAGGAAAAACTTATTTACTGTCTGAGTCCCTAGGGCCTGGAATAGACTGTCCCCAGAGGTGGTGCAGGCACCTACTCTGGATTCCTTTAAGGAACACTTGATGCCTATCTTGCTGGGATCATTTGACCCCTGCTGACTGCCTGCCCTTTGGACATGGGGCTGAACCCTATGATTTTGCAAGGTCCCTTCCAGCCCTAATGTCTATGAAATCTATTAAATCACAAGATAGCTAAAGCTTGTAAATCCTCACTAAGCAGTGTGGTTGGAAGTAGTTAATTGTCAAACTGTTACTGAGAGAGAAAAGTAAACAACTGATGTTCAGGGCCTGACTTGTGGTGAACTGCTCCAGAATTGTTATCTAGATGTTAAAATAACTGTATTATTTTAGGCATGCTTAAGTGACCAAAATGATCACATTCCTGGTCTTACTGGCACTGAGATTTGTATGAACATGAACAAGGGAAAAACCTAAGTAATTTGGTTTGTCTAAAGCAGGGGTGGGCAAAATATGACCTGCCAATTGATCCTGTCTGGCCCGCTGGCCACCACTAGAAGCCTGAGGAGGGAGGGCTGTGCCCTGTGCAGCTCCACTCTGATGCAGCCAGGGCCAGGCTGGGCTGCACAGCATGCAGTACACAGACTCCTCCATACCAACCCCACATCACCACATTCACGCACCCTGCCCCGCTTCCTGCTGGTGCTATGGTTGCATAGTCCTGGCACATGACCTCTGGCAGCCAAGCCCACATGGGATGGGGCATGATGCATCATGTTAAGTACCTGTCCCACCCACCCATCTGCTATGATGAGCTGCTGCCGCCACGGTGCTGCTAGGAGGTGAGTCCATGCTGGCTGCAAAGGAGCTCAGCCAGGGGCAGCCTCCCCTAACTTTCCCAGTGTGGTGTGGCAGCAGCAGCTCATCGTGGCAGGGGGACAGGTGGGACAGCTACTTGTAGGGCTGTGTGAAGCTTTGGTCCCTGATTCGATTTGGCGGAGATTTGGCCTGATTCGGTGGCTGAATCTCCGAATCTGAATTGCATCAGAGGACCCTTTAATCTCTCAGAATCAAATCGGAACCCTCCAAATTGATTTGGAAAGATTTGGCAATTCAGACATAGACACAGAAGCACGATTAAATGTTTTTTCTACATACCCCTAGGTAGCAGATGGCTCATGAATGCTGAGGTGGATGGAGTATCCCACAGAAGCTTGCTCCCCAGCACGCTCAGCAGCAGACCCAGAAGTGGACCAGAAGCACTTCCGGTCCATTTCTGGGTCCACTGGGGTGCAGGGTGTTGGGCTAGATGACCTTTGAGATCCCTTCCCACTCTATGACTCTATGACTAGGGAAGTGTTCTTTATGGAAAAACGTATGCATGATAGTAATAATGAAGCCAGTTGGATTCTCCTTTAACCTGTAGATTGTAATTTGAACTGCACACACGTGGAGGGAAAAAAGGAAAGGAAGTAAGAAAGAATGCGACCCACAAAGCCTTCTAGGAAAATATAGTTTCTGTCCATGCCTTCCTCAGGACTGTGTAAAGTCAAATTTTCAAGGATTTTCAAGCGTGCAGGGGAAAGATGGGAGCTGACATCTGGTGGGATTTGGGCACCTAACCTAACCCTAAAAGGGTTGCCTTAAGATCCTAGTCCCAGTCCTTAGTTGGATCTATAGAAATTATTTTTAAAATCCATAGAGAATTATATCTTTTTGCAGTTTTTCAAACATTCCTATAGAATTTGATAATAGCAATAAAATTCCATGTTCCATTGTATAGACAGATTTGCAAACCCATAGGTAATAACCAGAAAGGTTCATACATTCCTGGTTTGAATGAGTGGTTTTGTTCTAAAGCAGTAGAACTAATGTTATTATTGCAATACTAGCCAATTGTCCATTAAGAATGACAGGGGGGCTGGGATGGAGTGCCGCCATCTAACGCCCCATGCTGCCGCTGTTCTGACTCTTGCAGGGAGCAGGGTGGGGGCTTTGACTCTCCCACCCTTTGCCCAGTCCTCAGTGTGGCTTCAGAATCATGGCGGCGCTCTCCCACACTTGAAGCACTATGATTGGCTGTTTCCATCAGCCAATCAGACTGCAAATCAAGTGTTACAGACAGACAGACTTAGGCTTTTATAATATTAGAATGGACTTTACCTAATACAAATAAAATATAAAATGCTAAGAAACAGTAAAAGGACATTGCTGAACAATAAGGTCTTTGAAAATTAGTTGTTGTTCCTTCATCTGTAGTGTTTGAGGCACTTTACAGACAAATGCCACAATTCTTGGCCCAAAGAGGTACAGTCTAAAAAAGCAAGACAAGGAAAAACAATAAAAGTAGATACTGGTTTAGGGAAACGAGAAAAAGGATTAACTGCTGCAGGTCACAAGTTTGTCCATCATTTTGGGTATCTTTTGACGGATTATTTTTTTTGGTGATCAAAATGAACATAAGCTGGCACAAGGTAAGATACATAAAATATAAGAAAAGATATCATGTAAGTTTAAATCAGGCAGAGTAAAGAAAAATAAAATGTTACAGTGAGTATGACTTCAAAAAGCAAGGGAAAAGAAAAGATAAAGAGGACTTACTGTATAAAATATGAACCTTTTTGACTAGCAGACTGCATCATCTTTCTTAAATTACATCTGAATACTTGAAAGCAATAGGAAAATGCTCATACTGCAATACCACAAAACAGATTTCTGATTTGGGGCTAAAATTTCACTTCCCACTGAGACAAAATGGATGAAAGGTATAATAATCTTTTTTTCCTTGCCAGTTGTAAATCAAGATGGCCAGCCTCTAATTGAAGGCAAACTGAAGGAGAAGCAAGTCCGATGGAAGTTTATCAAGAGGTGGAAAACTCGCTATTTCACTCTTGCTGGCAACCAGCTTCTCTTTCGCAAAGGCAAATCTGTAAGTTAAAGGGAAATCAATTTGGTATGTTCATTTTTTTACCCAACACCACCATCTCTTTGGCTTCTTAAGACTACACTTATTCCTTATTCACCTTTCACCACATTTTTAATTTTAGCCATGGGTTTGCTAAGTGAAGATATAAGCAATTGGAATTTTATGTCTTTCCCACAGAGACAAAGACTGAGATTTTTCAAATGCACTCAAGATTGGCCTGACTACTCTTGTTGAAGTCATTGGCAACCACTTTTCACAAATGCTGAATGCTCTAGAAAAGCCCACTCTAAATACTGTGACTCCAGTCCTGCCCTCTGAAACAAGGATGCAGCTTCCATTGACGAATGCTTCATGTAACAGGGGCAAAATTTGGCATATCAGCTTCTATAATCCCTTCCAGACCCACTAATCAATGACCTGTAAGAGTGCAGTCCCTCCAAGGGTCACATTTTAATTCAATTAGTGAAAGACTATTGCTTCACTATTCTTTCATAAGGAACTGAATCAAATTAAAAATTGCCTTTCAGTTTTAGCTAGGAAATCTTTATTTTGTTGAGCAAGGAAATTTAAGGATAAGTAAACATTTAAATTCTGTACAGGTCTGGCTATCAAAAAACATGGAGGATGACAGCAACAAAGTATTTATCACAGTCAAGATTTTTTGAGTGCCAGACTTCAAAGGGGTATAATTATTAAAGAGTAGGTACTCAGCACATTTTGAAAAAACAGCCTGATTAATATGTCTCACAAAATAACTATTTGCTTTTTTTTGCAAAAAAAAATTGGTCTACTTTTCATGCTTAACATCAATAAAAAGCATTATAATAATCATGAGATAGGAAATATGAAGTATTGCTCAAAGTGAGATAGCAATGCAAAGAGGGCTAAATCTATTCTCCTCTCTACCAGTGAATAGACTCAAAGTAACCACCCTGATATTTTTGTGGAGTCACCTGGGATATATAGAGTATGACTCAGAGAAAAAATTGATACGGGGTAGCAAATATTGCAAAACTAACTACAGCCTTTTGTACTTACTGCTTCACAAAGTCATCGGGAACTTGCTTTTTTTAGCCCTTGACAATAGAAATTACCAAAAACCATGTAAAAGTGCCTTTTTGTTTAATGTCAGGAACCCTGTCAGAGATGATATAATATTAACAGCAGCTTGCTATCAGCGGTTGGCTGAAAATTTGGCCCTAAAGCTTAATTTTTTCGTTAAATAGACATTATCTTCATAGAAGTAAAGACAAACACTTCAAGCTTCTAAAATGATTGCCTAGATCTCCTTCTTTTATGGAGGTAATAGAGTTGCAATGAAATCAGCCTTTTAATGGGACTGCAAAGTCCTTCAGAAAGCAAGGAATTCATAAAATGGCATCTTCCTGCTCTTCTGGTGATTTTTCTCATGTGTCTATTACATTTTAAAAGACAATTTAAGTACGAATTTATGAACAATACATTTTACTGTGGAATTTCTTGAAATTTGGTTACTTTTTAAATGTTTGTCAGAACACTGGTACATTTTCTACTATTTTTTTAACAACTTTCTAGCAACTTTCTAACGTGTTATAAAGCGTGTATTTGATATAATGGAAGATGATTAGCTCCCTGACCATCGCAAGGCATAAGGCACATCAGAATAGCTCTGTTCCCCTTGGGATGTGATTATCGCATGAAAATTATCCCCTCAAACTTGTTTCACTGGTGGTCTCTTTTATTAATGCACAAAATGTATGTTGTTTGGCAGACAGGCAAAGCTGGCATATCAGATTGTTGACTGGCATCTTTTGCTCAGCTGTATCTTTTATGCAGATTAATATACCTCTTTTTAACTGGTTAAATCAAGAATTCTGAGCTGTTTTAAAACTGAATGCAATATCTTGAATGTTTATTCAGAGGAGCAGTCAGGTTTTCAGCTACTTGAAGACAGGTAGGCACATGCAGGTATACATATTTGTTAAATATTCATGTTGTATTCTGTTACTTGTACATTTTTTTGCTGAAATTAGAGTCAGCCAAAGTTACTGGATTGAGATTTCTGTAGACTCAAGTCCTCTCTATAACCTCAACTTGGGTACAGCATAAGAACAAGAGTAAATGCTTACTTGGGCTGCTGCACCAATGTGCCTCAAATCTGTTCTGAAAAGGTTGCTCCTAGAGAGAAGCTAGGTGTTACAGGCTTGGATATATAGTCCTTTGCTTCAAGGGTGCCAATTAGTAATGACTATAAATTGTTTTTTAATAGTAGTTGTAGGCAAATAGAGTAACTGGCTGAGTACCATGTTAAGGGTGCAGATATTTCAGAAAGTATTTGATTCTTAGGCACCTAAAAATAGCATTGGAGATGAAGATTTACAAGTCTCATGGGAGTGTTTTAGATAAATGGTGTCTGAATTGGGAATCTCACATCTAAATTTAGCAGGTGCAACCCTGATAATAGCCTGGGGTGGATCCAGAGGGGGTACAGTGCCATGTCTGTACCCCCACTTTCTGACCATGCTGCCAGGGCAGCAGCCAGGGACTGAAGGCTCAAAAAGGGTAAGTATTTTCCCCCTCCCTTCACCTTCATGCTCAAAGACAAATCCCCTCTCTTCCCCTCCCATTCCCCCCTTCCCTGCCTGCTGCTGAGACAGCACCCAGGGTGTATGGGGAGCTCCTGGCTCTTCCAGCTAAGCTGAATGGGGACTGGACTCAGTTCAGGACCATACCAACGGCCTCAGTATAGAGGCAGTTTGCTCCCTGCTTGCTCCGCACAGGTATTTCGTGTCAGCTGAGGAACAGGCATGGGGAGGAGGAACATGTGCCCTGGCCTCTGCTGCTGCTGCAGTACTCTTCAGTGAGCACAGCACTTGATGCAGCCTAGCTGGAGCAGGCAAGAGCTACTCTTATCCCCAGACCAGCACCTGGCAGTGGCAGGCAGGAGGGCAGGGGAAATGGGGAGGGAAGAAGAGGGGATATATCTGAGGGCATAGAAAGGAAGGCAGAGATTGGGGTGGGAGCTGGGAGTGGGGGGAAGGGGGAGGGAGGTGGGAAGGAATGCCTTGGGACTTAAGTCCTTAGCTGCTTCTCCTGCAGCAGTGTCTGCCTGCTCTGGTGGTGGGAGAGCAGGGGAAGGAGGCTGAGATTGAAGGGTTCAACCACACTTACAGCGTTGGTCGCTACACCTGCACTCCTCACTAAAAATCCTGGATCCATTTCTGAGTGATATAAATGTAACCCAGGTGATACATGGAAGGTACCCCCTCTCCAATTGAAAGGATGTCAGAGGGTGCATGTATGCGGTGGGAACGTGGCTGCTTAGTATAAGCCATCTCGGCTCCTTTTCCTACAGAGCAGAGCAGAGACCAAGGGCACCCAGTGATATTTAACTATTTACAGGTTTAATGATACAACATAATAAAAAACTTATAACCATCTATCTATCTATCTATACAAATGTTATTTACAGATATAGGTTTACACAGGCAATAGCTCTTTTTAACCCTGAACTCAGGCACATGACTAATCCTCTGTGGCCTTATGATTAGTTTGCAGCCCCTGCCCCCTCAACAGGGCCCTTCAGACAGCAGGTAAAGGAGCACTCAGTGATAAAACACAGGTTAATCAACAAATCAATGACAGGAAGATCTAGTAGTGATGGGGTAATAACTGAACATACACAATAAGGTTACATTAAATGGGATACACATATATACAGATAACCCATACAGTGAGTTCAGATATAGAACAGTTTACAGTCCTTCCCTAATACAACAATAAGGACGCAGAGTTACAACAAGAATCCCAACAGCATAAGGAACCAAACCACAGCAATGGCACAGCAGCTGTTCCCAAAGAAGAAATGGCACCCAGGGAAGGATCCCGTTACCTAAAAGAACACCATTACCCTCTCCTAGGTCACTGAACTAGGAAGGGCCCATAACCATAAAAACCACCCTTAACAAACAGGGACCCTAGACTCCTCTCTAAGCCCAAGGGTGAATTGTCCTCTCTCCTCAGGGGCTTCCTATTGATCACCTGCAGTGGAGAAGGTCCCTCCTCCCCTGTGGGAATCCTTTCCCAGGTAATTCACGACTCCCAGCAGCTTTTAGAGGGTTGGGCTCATCTCTATCTGTGGGTTGGAGGCGGGGTGTCCTCCCTCGCTGGGGTGCTTGACCCATCCAGTCACCACTCACAGCAGGAAGGCCCGAGCTGCCTCATGCAGCCACCAGGCCTGTCAGCCCTCTCTCAGCCCCGTGCACTGCTCTGTGCACCAAAGGGACACGTGCCTCATGTAGGGACGGGGACCCGCACTTCCTCATGCAGCCCTCGGCATCCTGTCAGCTCCTCTCAGCTCTCAGCCCCGTGCACCACCCTGTGCTCGGAAGGGGCACCTGCCTAGGGCAGGAATGGGAACTCGTGCCGCTTTGTACAGTCGCAGCATCCTGTTAGCTCTATGGCCCTGTGCACCAATCCATGCACCAATGGCCCAGCTCCTGCCTCATACAGGGTTGGGTATCCACGCTGCCTCGTGCAGCCTGTGCAGTCCCTGTCGACTCTACCAGCCCTGTTCACCAATTTGTGCACCATGGGACCTCTGCCACTCGCAGAATTGGGGACCCGAGCTGCCTCGTGCACTCCTGGAGTTCCATCAGCTCTCCAGCTATGTGCACTGATCTGTGCGCCGAGGGCTCCTGCCTCATGCAGAATTGGGATCCCGTGCTGCCTTGTGCAGCCATGGCGGTCCCTTCAGCTCCACAAGCCCTGTGCAGCGATTCATGCGCTGAGAGCTCCTGCTTCATGCATGGTTTGGGACTCGTGCTGCCTTGTGCAGCTGCTGAGGTCCCGTCCACTCCCGAGCCCTCCTTGCACCGATCTGTGCACTAACACCGCAGCCCCCTCCACGGCGGGGCTGGGACACAGCGGCTTGCTGCTCCCCATTCGGCAGAGGCATCTTCTGGGCGCTTCTGGGGCAATTGCTCTGCCCCGCTGGTCAGCTCTACCAGCTCTTCTCAAGCCCTGTCTTTGTTGTCCCTCACTGAAAGCCGCCCATGTGCTTGGCTTGCAGGCTTTTATTCCCTTTGGAGGCTCCACCCCAAATTGGGAATGGACCAATGAGGAAGCCTGAGGGGTTAGTTCCCTCTCAGGTCCTCTCTTCCCCTCTCCCCTGGGTCAGGATGGGGCTGCCTTCCTTCTGCCTTCCCCTGATTGGTGGGGAAGGAAAAACTGCCTCCACCAATGGAGCCTGAGCCCGTCGGACTTAAGCTAACAACTGGCTAGCCTGCCACGCGCATCATGAACCAAAGAAATATTGGATGGAGATGCTGATGCTGATATCCCAGCCCTGCAGCAGGCAGCCCCCCAGGGGCAGGGTGCAGTGTCCCAGCCCAGTGCTCCCTGTCAGCCCCTGGGCTAGCACCTATGGGGAACCTAGAGCTCCCCCTGGTGGCAGGGGCTCATTGCAGGGACCCAGGACACGAAGCAGATTTGCTGCAAATCTGCTCCCACATCTCTGCATGTGTCAACGCCTGCCCGGGCGCGTTTACTTGCAAGTGGTTTACTCTGAAGTAAATTGATCCCGGATCAAATGCATGTGTAGAGACACCCTGCCAGATGTAATTTTACAACATCTTGCATGGAACCCCTACAATGGGAGCAGACAACATTAACAGCTTTATCTTCCTGCTTAACATTTGTGGAAAACAGCAGTGTGGTTCCAGCTTCTGGAGAAATTGGATGAACACAAGCACATGCAGACACGCACACACATACACACACGTTTTAGGAATGGATGTCTGAGTAAATGATCAGCTCATGGGAAATGATTGGTGTCTGGGATTCTTAAAATAGAAATGAACATCAGTAATAGGGAGTGAGCTGCCATTGTGAGGACTGATTTAACCACATGATTTGATATGCTACCAGTGAAAAACGTATACACCATTATTTTGTCTTTTTATTTAAAATAAAAGTTTAGATTTGAATGCAAAATAACATAAAATCAATATTTAGCATAAGACAAACAATTTAAAATAAGAGAAAATAAAGATTTAAATGATACCATCACAACCTGGCATCCTGTGGGGTCCACTGTTGCAGGACCTCCACCCCTAAATTTCCATCAGTCATTGAGACTTCTGGGATCAGGTCATGAGAAGGATCACTGCATCAGCTTACAACGAGGTAAACACTGGTGAGCTGCACTGTCATAGGTTATACCTAGTTCAATCAGCATTTCGTATTTGTGTCCTGCTACATCTGGTGTTTGTGTTAGTTATTTGAACTGGAAGATGTTTGTGTGGTTTAGAAATAAAATTTCGCCCCCAAACCCCTGGCATTGTTAAACAAGGACTGGTATTATGTGGATGTTTTGATTTTTACCTCACTACAGATTTAAAAATATAAACCAAACACAAAAGAAGTATTGTGCAATAGCCAGCTGGCTGTTCCTGGATTATTCCTGTAGGCCTGTCACTACCCTTTCCCCTTTAAAATTAACTATGCTAACACTATTTACTCTGTGCAATCAATTATATGGCCAGCGGGTGAAAGGGAGGCAAAGGAAAGCCAAAACCTGAGAGGCATGAACGTACTGTTTGCCACATCCTGGAACTCCATGAAAACCATGGTAGGCCCCATCCACAAAAATGTGCCTCAGGTACCAAAATCTTACTTCCCTTACCAACCAGAGTTCACCCCCAGTATAAATGGGAGCCTGTAATGGAAACAGTAACTTGTTTGTATTAGACATGGTCTGAGTTTCCAAGATAGAACATGAACTTCCCTAAAGTTCAAGAGTACTCAGGCCTAATGATGGTTTGCATCCTCTGAACAGCACTGAAAAATGCAGGTTTGGTTTTCAGAGCAGAGCTTGAATAGATTTTATGGATGGATTATACTGAATTTCTGTGGGACTAGAGTATCAAACTCACTCTGACTCAGTTGAAAATGAGCTCACCAACATGAGTAAGGCTTGCACAGTCTAACCTATAAACCCAAGCTATTTTGTTAGATCAGTAAAAGTTTTCCCCTGTGAATTTATTTCTGTTCTCCCCCCACCTCCTTCTATATTCCAGAAAGATGATCCAGATGACTGCCCTATTGAACTCAGCAAGGTACAGAGTGTAAAGGTGGTGGCCAAAAAGCGCAGGGATCGCAGCCTTCCTCGAGCCTTTGAAATCTTCACTGACAATAAGACATATGTTTTCAAGGCCAAAGATGAGAAAAATGCTGAAGAGTGGCTTCAGTGCATCAATGTAGCTGTCGCACAAGCTAAAGAAAGGGAAAGCAGAGAGGCAACGACCTATCTGTAAGACTGTTGGTGTGTCTAATGCTGAACTTTCATGCCGGCATTTGAAAAGCAAAAATTCTTCATCCTGTTTAATACAGAACTGAACAAAGTGTTAAGAACAAGCCTAGGTCCCAGTCCTGCAGCCCTTACTCATAGGAGTAGTCTCTGGTATCAGTGGTGTTGATGGTTCTGGGAGCACTTACTGCAAAGGCTGCAGAATCGGGCCCCTGTGCAATTACTGTTGGCAACAAATGGCTCAGAGCAACCCATGAGAATCCAAATCTTGAGAAGTGAACATCTTTCCAAAGGCAAGTGATATCAGTTGGCAAGAAAGGTTCCTCTGGACATGGATGGAAATGATATAACTACTTGCACATTTGTCAGCATATGAAGAACTACACACACACACTAGAATGCAGAAGTAGCTGGGTAACATCTTTCCTCATGTGCACATTTACATTTTTCCTCCCTCTGTTTCAAATGCAGCCAATTTAGAATATTAACCTCTGCTCAAAGTAAAGCAGTTATGTAATAAAATTTAGTGTTCAAAGCTCTTTCTGACTTTATCTTTTCAAAGTGATCCAACACAGACTAAAATATCGATGTGAATGTAGTGTTATTGTTAGTGTATTTCATTTTATCCTTTTGTCAAAATGGATAAACAACTTTCAAATCTATTCCAGACAATAACATTTGCAAACTATCCACTATTTTTATGTGCTGTCGTTTGTATGATCAAAAACCAACCACGGCTACATTTTGCTGCCTTTTCTCTCTCTTTCTTCATTTTTCATAAAATCTCTACATGTAAAATAATATCTTTTTTTCTGGCTGCACTATCCACCTCTATGAAAGTTAACCATCTCTTTTATTATTTGAGTCTGTCAAAAAATGTCAAGGTCAAAGCTGTTCCCTTGTTTGCAATTTAAAGGTTGTTTTTAAAATTCCTGCCCTATATATTTTTGAAATGTTTGAATTAAAAAAAAAAATCCTCTTCCCCTACATTTTTCCCATGTTGCCACTCAATGCAAGCAAGTGATGGATGTTTTTCCATTTAAAAAACATCATTTTTCTTTTTTCACTTTTCAAAACTTCTCCAAATTTGGAAAGTTTACAGAATTGCATGTTTCCTTTTACCACCCTAGAATTTTTTCCCAAGGTTGGAGGAGGGTAGAAATGATTCAGAACAACAAAAGGAAAAAGGAACCATAGCCAAGTAAAATGCGTTTGGTAAAGGTCATGCATTCTGTTGTTTTCAGTGGGGAAAAAGGGCACGGAGGAGTGTAAAGAAATTAACAACGTTCATTGTGACTAACAGCTAGAAAGTCATGAATGATTTTTTCAATATGCATTTCTTTCATAAAAGTTTTAATTTCCAAAAAGACCATTTTTCTCAAGAAAATACATTAATATGACAAATTTGAATTGTTATTTTTCTTCAAGATGGAGGTATAAAGTCTCCATAGTAGAGATGTTAATGTTTTCCTGCTAATATGTGTACTTAACCAAACTAGAAAGTAAATAATGTGGAAAATAAATTTAGATTGAAATACACTGAGCAATATTTACCCATGTCACATTTTCATTAACAACAGTAGAGTTGCACAAGGTATGGCTTGCTGGGTTAATGTTACTTTCCAAAGGCACTGACATAGGACAAACAGAAATATTTTCTTTGCAGTGGATTCAGCAGGTGTTGGCGATGGATAACCCAGACTCTTTCCACAATATGCCATGGAGTGTGTCATCCCTAGGAAGTCCAACCAGACAGTGCTGTGAGAAGGGCATGGGAGAAAGTTTTGCTAAGTCAGCTTTATTTCACTTGCTCTGATTGTCACAGATGGTATCAGCTTTGCTTGCAGCTGTAAACTGGCACAGAGTATACTGTTTCATGCAAAGTAATAGCCTCTGACAAGGTAGGCTGTTGCTTACAACAGCTCATGTCTCTCTGGACCAGTTTTGTAAACTTATCTGCATCTGTTACCCCTGTGTATAATGCTTTTAAAAGAGACTCTGGTATGGGCAAAAGCTTGAAAATACCACATAAATCTGAATGTATAGCCTGATCTATTACAGAGATACTGAGGACCCTCAGCTCTTGGCTTCAGTGAGAGTGGCGTAGGAGGTCAGAAGCTCTAAAAATCAAGCTCTGACTAGTTCAAACTGTTATTTTGTCTGGATTTAAGTCCTTTGACATCTTGGATGAAATGAGCTTTGGTAGCTGTTGGAGTGAAGTTAAAAGTCTGAGTTGGGAACACCAACTGCTTTATCTGTCTGCCTGAATTTTCTGTGCAGGCCAAAATGAATTTTTTCCCATCCCATCATCATTGCAGCAATGAGTTCAAGCATAAGAAGGCAGAGTGTATCCAAGCAAAGGATGTAACAGATTCAGGAGGGATCCAACCCAAAGAGTGTATTTTATTTTTCTTAACATGAACTTTGTTTTTTGTTGTTGTTGCTGGTTTTCTGAATGTTGCTGCCATTGAGTGTGTTTAATCAGTTTCTGGGCTAGATTTTCCAAGTAGCCTCTATATGTGTCCTGAAAAATTTGCCTACATTTACATATGCACAAATCTGCATATAAAAGCAAATATAACATACTTTTGTAGATGGGTGTCCACTCAAAAGCACAAGTTCCTATTTGTGCTTGCACATTTATGGAGCAATATATAGGGCTCCTCATTTACAATTTCCTTTTGCTATAAGCATGACTGCCAAGCAGTCCATGCTTGTACAGTGAGTGAATTTGTTGTGTACTAAATGCTGCTGTCTGCCTTGGAATCCTCTCAACGCCCCAGAGCCCTGCAATTTGTTTCCCAGTGGATGTAATGCTACAATGTGACAATGGGTTTGTGTTCAAATTAAGTCTAAAAAAAACCAGGGGGATTACTTTTCCATAATCCAGGAATGTAAGAAGTGCTCTTACTGGGTTAAAGTGAAGGTCCATCTAGCCCAGCATCCTGCCTCTGACAGGAACTGGAACTGGCTGCTTCAGAAAACGGGATAAGATCTCTCGTGGCATACAGATGTTTGGGAATCTCTCACACCCTTGGTTTTATCTGGTTGCTGATACTTAAATGTTAACTGAAGTTCTAAAGCATAAGGATTAATATCCTTTCCATGCCTTTTGTCATTGCTAACTGTGCTACAGATAGGTCTGTATAGGGCAGCTGTAGTGAAGAGTGAGAGAGCACCACGGAACCTATCTGAACTGACTCATTTAATAAATCCTGTCTGAATTCATTTAATGAGCAGAACTGACTTGTTTAATGAGCTGAACTGACCTATCTGGACTGACTTACTTAATGAGCATGCTGAGTACCATCAGGCAACATGAAATGGTACTTGTTATCCCTGTGCAAGTTCAGCCGAGTTTGTATGGGGAATGCCTTACTGGACCTGGTATTGGCAACGGGGGATGACATGGTAGGGGACCTACAGATTGGCGGTCACCTGGGGGACAGTGATCACCAAATAATAGAATTCATCATAAGACGTTGAGCGGGTAAGGTAACTCCGGGACCTGGCGCACAGGCCAGGTCCCGGAGGACTGGAAAAGGGCCAATGTGGTCCCCATTTTCAAGAAGGGGAGGAAGGAGGACCCGGGCAACTATAGGCCAGTCAGTCTCACCTCCATCCTTGGCAAAGTCTTTGAAAAAATTATCAAGGCTCACATTTGCGAGAGCCCAGCAGGAAAAATTATGCTGAGGGGAAACCAGCACGGGTTCGTAGCAGGTAGATCATGCCTGACTAAGCTAGTTTCTTTTTATGACCAGGTTACAAAATGCCTGGACGCAGGAGTAGGGGTTGACATCATTTACTTAGACTTCAGGAAGGCGTTCGATACAGTATCCCACCCCATACTGGTGAACAAGTTAAGAGGCTGTGACTTGGATGACTACACAGTCCGGTGGGTGGCAAATTGGCTAGAGGGTTGCACCCAGAGAGTCATAGTGGATGGGTCGGTATCGACCTGGAAGGGTGTGGGCAGTGGGGTCCCGCAGGGCTCGGTCCTTGGACCGATACTCTTCAATGTCTTCATCAGCAACTTGGACAAGGGAGTGAAGTGTACTCTGTCCAAGTTTGCGGATGACACAAAACTGTGGGGAGAAGTGGACAC